AGGATCCCACTCCTCCAGTGCACATAGGGTTAAGGATAAATCACACAGCCAATGGTGCTCAGATAAAAGCGAAAGATACTGCACGTGAGGACTCCAATCAAGAAACAATATGGAGATATCTTAAGTAATAGTTTTCTTGCTGTTTTTCAGGCATTACTTAATACTTTTCATTCATATTTTAAAACTATTTCTTATCATCTAGTTTTGTGTACCTCTTTTTATTGTTCTTATATAAGTATTAACTGTATGAAATAATAAACTACCTTTTGGATATATCTTTTTATACTTAAAAAGGCCATTAGGGAAGCAAACCGGTTGTTCCATGATTTGAACACCACCACTGTGTGCGTGTGTGTGTGCGTGTGTGCGTGTGTGTGCGTGTGTGTGCGTGTGTGTGTGTGTGTGTGTGTGTGTGTGTGTGTGCTGGAGTTCCTGAAATTCTCAAGATGTTACCAATATCCATAATGAAAAGAGGGATGGTGAGTTGCAGGGAGCAAAGTGAGAAGAATGCTGTGAGAGCAGAAGTCACGAGTACCCCGCCCACCTCTACTCCACTGCACATTAACGCCCCGTTCACAGATGAACAAAGCCATGAATGAGTGTCAATTCTCATTCTCCCCCAGGTTTCTTGACTTCTCCCGAAAGAAGTTTGTTCTACCAACGCAATCTACCTGTGAAGGAGACGACATCCGGGGGGCAGTAGAGTGGCTCTCAGGGCAACTTGCCCAGCTGTGCCTCAAATGACTCCCTAGGGATTACATTCCACAGAATGGGCACGGGACTGCACCGTGTAGTGGACATCCCATGCGAACTTGTCTCCATTCACTGATCCGTTCTTTGATCAAACAGACTTTATGAAAGGCCTTCCATGTACTAGACGTGCTTCACCGAATGGGTCACTCACCATTATTTAATAATTGTCTATTTTAAATATGACATGAGCAATTCTCCTAACAACAACAACAGCAACAACAACAATGCCACCTGAAACTGTTATTTTAGGAATATGAGAGCAGATTGCTGGTGTATAGTGGTGGGAACATGATCTCTCCCCACCATCCAGTGGAAACTACAAGACTTTCTTCCTACTTTGTCTGCTACCAGCTATATTAGTACAACAGGGTCTTCTCTCTGCAGCCTGTCAGTCATCCGAAAGGCGCCGCCTTTGGGAAAGTCGGTGTTTCTGGGTCGTGAGGGGTAAAAAGGTGGAGCCACATGGAGAAAGATGTAGGAAGACGGACAGCTGCAGGGAGACCAAGGCTGCTGTGACGGGGCAGCTGTTCACCTTCTCGTTCAGTACTAACATACCTCGTGTATTGTGCTTCGTGGATAGTGTCTTTCATAAATGAAAGTCTGTGGGAACCCCCTGTTGGAACAAATCTATTGGTGCCACTTCCCCCCTAACACCACGTGCTCACTCCGTGTCTCTGTGCCACGTTTTGGTCATCCTCAGAGGATTTCAATGTGTGATTGGCCACTTCATTGATGATGGTATCCTCTAAACACAACTTCTATAGGCACTGGAAACATGATTTCCTGCTTTGGGGATATTCCTTTTACTGTGAGGGTCTGGAACGGAACCCGCAATATTTCCAAAGTATACCTGTACTCACATGCATTTCCCCTGAGGTGTTAGGCTGGCTTTCCAAATTATAGGGACGCCTAGGGGCAAACAGCCTCAGCTGTGCCATGCGCCCACCCTGAGGCCTGACAAGGTGACTTGATGTCCCCAGAACTCAGTTGCTTTTGATGGCATGTCCCTCGTGAAACGTTAGCTAGCCTTCACATTCATTTTATTCATGGGTTTTGCTCTGTCTGTATGGAAGGCCAAGAACGCAAAACTGGGGTGAGAGGAGGTTTTCTTTTCTAGCATCTAAATTGAGAAAAGAAAAAAGCTTAAAAAGTAGAAGGTTCTCTTAAGAGCAGTGAC